TGCTCGTCTTGATGGTCGTGCTACTCGCCTAGGTGCCACATTCGTCTCGACCATCGAGGTGGTCATTGTGCTTATTTTTATGATCATCGTTGAAGTGGTATTCATGTTCGTGATGGGCACGTACTGTTGACGAAAGGGATGATGTTGGTCATCATTATCCCGCCCTGGTTCGTTATAATGGCCAGGGTGCATCTTTCCGGGTTTTAGCGAGAGATGCATTCTCATTTTGCACATTTGGTGAGGACTGGAGCGAGATCAATAGCCGTGTGGTTCCACCCGTTACCACATTCATCATTTGTGTTGTTTGGTCATGATCACGAGAGCGGTATCAGGGTCATCTCCATCGAATTAACAATGTTGAGGAGTTTGTCGTTGCTACACCTGCTCAGCCATTGAAAACGATGTTTACATTTTGCGTGATCGTGGGCGATACTTTATGATCATAAGCAGGTTCCCTTTGCAGTCATGCTAGCCTATCTCCTAATGGTGATAGGCGTAATTGAGATCGCCTTCCCCAACCTCGCAAGCTTCACCCTCGACTTCGACAATTACTTATACTCCGACTGGTTGAAATCGCAGTCCCTACCTTGGAGTGTCGTGGCCATCCGCACTTTGGGTGACTGGAATGGAATGAATTTGGTTGTGATTTCGAGCAAGGTACATAGAAGGAGTAGAAGGTAGCACTCATGAAAACGGAAGTGGAGAAGACGTGACGAAGAAAAATGAAGAAGGAGTAGCAGAGAAGAGAAACCTACATCATACCCACGCGCGTCACTATCGTGATCGTACTGGTTGCCATCAGCGGATCGTTATTATCGGGCTCATTCCGGTATTCAGCAACGCCCTTCTCTTTGCGGTGCACGTCATAACTGTTATCATGGTCGAGTTGCGTGCCTTCATGATCTGCACAATCGGACCACTCATCGTCATCACCGAGTTCATGATGGTGGTAGTGTTGCTCGTGGTTGTGTTCACCAGTGTGCTTGCGATCAACATCCTCACCTAAGGTAGTCATCCAGCCAATAGCGTGCTTTCCCTCATTATAGTTTTCGCATAACAACGAAGGGGGGGGATGGTGAGCGAGGCATCATGCCTACATGGAGGTGTTGGGATCCGAGGGATGGGGAGCTTAGCCAACGTGGCCGGATGCAACAAATGAACGAGGATGTGAGCTGCAAAGTGCGCTAGCGCTAGCAAGCAGGGGAGCAAGTGCATGTGCACGATCCGGGTAGTAGCAAACTTACTTGAAATATTATAACCCAGATAGTGGTGTATCTTTCGATGTTCCTGCAAAAGATTCATTTTTATTTTGAGAATTTCAGTGGTTAGAGGGTCGAACCCGTTGTTATATCACGCATTCGATTCATAGTCACCACCATGGCCTTGCGCCCTACAGCATAGTGACGATTGTCGATTGGATCGCAATCCTTGTTTTTTATGTTACGCGTTGTGATCTCCTCGCCATCGCCATTATGAATGATAAGCGTGCTATTACTCATATTTGGGCTCGGGATCCTGTCGTTGCTCCTCATATTTCGTCACAGTCCTGTTACTGCACATCATGATCATCAACTCATTGTTGGTTGTCACTTTTTTGAGGTAGCTATTGTCGTGACCATCTTAGCGGAGCTGCGCATTCAAGTTATTGGGGGTGGCTTCTGTCATCAACAAAGTGTTCCTCGTAGTTGCCATCTCTATCCGGGGTGGTGTTTGAGGTACTCGTGCTCGCAGTGATCGTCATGCATGGTGTTGGTGCTCATGATACGAACGATCGTCATCAAACACCACTATTGATGGATTTATGAGGCACGTGCATGCTTGTGCGCGCCAGAGAGAGAGAGAGAGAGAGAGAGAGAGAGAGAGAGAGAGTCGGTTGTGTGGATCGGAATGCGGGGGTTGCAGTACAGAAAACGCAGCGACAGGGGTGCAACCGACCATGTTTTAGATAAAGATTTAGTTTTTGTTCTTACACCATATTTGCTTAAGTTTGAGTGAGAGGTTCATTTTTAAGTTAGGGTACGGCAGGCAACCCATTTGGTAGTGTATCTGTCCATGTTCTGGCCGAAGATTCAGTCCCAATCTGCACCATTAGGGAGCTTAACAATGGGTGGCTTTAACAACACGCACAAGTTTATCTGCTACAGGAAAATTCATTCCCAAGTTACACATCCGTGAGCGTTTTTGAAGTGGTCATTATTAAGATCCAATTGATGGTCCTTATCGAGATGCTATTAATGAATTACTGCTACCACAGCCGTTAAGCTCCTCGGGCTCGCCGTACTGGCTCGAGTTTTGCTCCGTTTGGCTGACCATCGTTATCCTGCTGATCCCTTTTATCCATGTGCTTATCGTAGAGGCTGACTCCACCAAGTTAATGCACCTGACCGCTGTCTAGGGGGAGGTTCGTTTTCGCAACAGCGTGGCAAAACTAGTCTGCAGGTGCACCATTCGCCAACCACGACCTACTGTGAGAGTTTTGAGTGTGAGCAGGGCAGTTGAAACTCAAAAGATAGTGAACTATGCCTGAGCGGGGTGAGGCCAGAGGAAACTCTTATGAAGGCTCAACCCTAAGGTAGGACTTCTATGCTTTTCGCCAGGCCTTAGGAAGAGGTTTTTCAAACTCCATTGTTGGTGGCAAAAGCAAGCATATCCGTTTCTACTCTGCCTTCCTTTGCTTTTTCAGCACACCATCCAATCTTTGTGCCTCCTTTTTGCATGACATGGCTGAATCTAAAGGGTAGTTCTGGCCACCTTTTCATTTAAGGTAGGACCCCACTGCTTTCTGCCAAGCATTTGAAGGAGTTTTTTTCAGACTCCATTGGTGGCAGAAAAAGCAAAAGTTACAGTTTCTATTCCGTCGATGATGCACCGAAAAAGCGAGGTACAATCACCGTGCCTCCTTTTCGCTGGGGATGGTTGAATATAGAGGGTATTTTTGGTTACCTTTTCAGCTACTGATCCCACTATGCATAGTAGAGGAACTTTTGGTCGGAAACGGGGATCCCAGTCGGTACCGGTCCAGCGACTGTGGAAAACAAATCGCCTGTTTCTTCTCTTGGCCTCCTGCGTAGCAGCACGGTAATGAATCGTGCCGGGTCGGATGAACAAATTTCCAAAAGCGCCCAACCCCTTACCCCTCCCATGAGAGTCAGCAGTTTTGCAAAATCCGTTTTTGCAAAATCTTGGCCGTTCACTATCCGCAGGTACCATCAGGCCTGACACTATTCGTGGAAAAGCTGCTTGGCCCCCGGTCCATTGGATGCCAAATCGATTTTACGCCTTAGCGGCGCGTGGGATTAGACCCTCGTTCAGCCAAAACTCGCCTCTAGATTCACCCATCCCATGCGGAAAGGTGACACAAGGATTGGATAGTGTAAAAGAGGAGCCCGGCTTGCCTGAAAGGGCAAGTTTTCCAAATCTGGTAACCTAAACCTGCAGAGGTGCCAAGTCTGGTGTGGTGGTGGTCCCTTTTCTCGCCCATTCGCATCCGGGGCCGGGACCCACATGCACCGTGTAGTTGTAGTTTTCTACAGTGTGCGACGTGTGGGGGGCGGGAAAATCCAGAAAACTGCTTGGCTGTCAGCGGGCGTGGCGTCCGGTGGTTGGTGGCCAACCTCAATTCAAATCATCTTCCGTTTTGTGGCTGTAAAATCACGGTAAAATCACAGTAAAAGCCCTCCATAACTTCAAAGTGGCGGTAAAATCATGAACTTTCAACCAAAAGCGCAGAGGACGTTAGCAATAACACTTTTCTTGGAATAGCTTTCTACCGCGCAGAACATGGCCTCGCCTCCTCCCAAACCACGTCTCCGCAAACCACGTCTCCGCCAATACAAATGTGATACAAATGTCCAAAAGACTCAGAAACCCGGGTTCATCATGCATCCAGGATTCGCTGCCCGCAGCCGCCCGACGCCACCCACTGCCGCCCAACTAAACTACACCCAACTAAACTACAGGGCGCATATGGGTCCCGGCCCCTGGGGCTAGGTCCCACTTACACGAATTAAGCGATATTGACCGTAGATAGCAAAGATCAACGGCCAGAATATCTTAATCCGTGCAAGTGGGACCTTGCCCCCGGCTACGATTCTGGGCTGGCGGATGTTTTCCAGGCGCCAAGCACCGCCAAGGAGTGGGGTCCTTCCCCACTGCCTGTTTTTCTCGGATCTCCCGAAGGGCGTATGTACCATTTATCCCCGCTCCCTGCATCATCTGGCTAGAGGTAATAGTGAAGGTAAGCCCCTCAGGGCTTCGCTGTCTTTGGAGGGAAACTGGATCTCAGCCACGCGCGCTTGCGTTCGTTCCCCTCCCGAGCAAGTGCATCGCGTTTCGAATTCGAACCTCCCGCCTCACAGACTCAATTCGAACCTCCCGCGTTTCACAAGACTCAATTCAATCCGAACCTCCCGCCGCTTCACAGACTCAATTCGAACCTCCCGCCTCATAGACTCAACTGCCGTCCGTTTGTGAAGGGCGGTAGCCGGGACTTATTAGGCCGCGCCACGGCAGTCTCGAAATGTGAAAAAGACGAAAATGTGGCGGGCGCATCTGGCCATGTTCTAGCGGGAAGTTCATTCTCATTTTCCACATTCGAGAGTGGTATGGCGATGGCCTTAGGAACGAGTGCGCGGGGATCGTGTGCGCAGAGTGCAACTGTTTTCGCTTTCTACGTGGCAGGGGCACGTGGGGCACCTGTTAAAAGTTAAAACTGCAACTAACGCCACAGAGAGAGAAGATCACCTGCGAACGTGCTGCTCTCTCGGCGTTGTAGTACACAGTGTGGTGGCGTTGTAGTACACAGTTTGGTGGCGCCACTTTGCGCGACAATCCCGATGGTCAGCGGAACGGCGGGAGGTTCTCTCCCCTTCTCGAACGCCGGTCATCCTCCGCCGGTCATCCTCCGGTGCAGATGTATCTGTTTTGGAGTGCCGTGCGGCTGTCAAGGACGATAATCCGCCGGAGGTCGTAGTTCTCATGCGCTTCATTCGGCCGACGCGTGGCAATCTTTCGTTCCTTCATAGCGGTTGATGAGCAGTTTGAGCGCGTCGTGCAAGTTGGCCGTGCAACGTCGGGCAACGTCACGCTCTTGATCGATTTTGGGCTTGGTAAGTTTGGTCCCGTTCCCTTAATATCAGGCCCGCTTCTGTACTTCGTTCTAATCTGTCTCCCTCTCCTTCTGCCATTCCTGTTTTCTCCCTCTTCTCAGTCGAACTAGTGAGCGCGAGTCGTATACTGGAATCCGCTGTCGGGCCGACCAGCCAACGGGATTGAAAGGTTTCAATGGACGACTGTAAGCAGATGGATGTGGTAGTGTGGCGCGGCGTGACTAAAGGCAGGGGCTACTAACGGTAGTGGTTTGCCCACTGGCATTACATCGTTTCATTCTGAGCATGACAGACGCGCAATTCCATGCATTGTATTTTGCGTTGGGTTTCAATCTGAGAAGCGTGTTCAGGGCAACTTGGCCATTGGTCGTGGTCACTGTTGTTACGATTCTCTCTTCTAATCTCAATGTGCTCAAAAGCTTCTCTTTCCCTCTCTCCTTTTCTCTCTCTTGCCTTTTCCCTAGCCGCCGTGTCCTCTTCCCACTACCCCCGCCCTTCCCGCGTGCACTCCTCCTCCTCCTCCTCCTCGCCGAATCGCTGACCGCTGCGGCGTTGAACTTCGTGTTGGTGTGGGTAGTCTCCTCCACGTTTTCGTGATCACGGTGGCATTGACGTCCATCAAAGTGATGCCGTCCTCTTCGTCGTCCATGGCCGCACTCCATGGCCTCCTCCTCTTCTCGCTGCGCTAAGTGGTCGAAGGATTACCATTCCGGCGCGTAGGGGTGTACGATGATGGGAAAGACGTGCCCAGTGGAGGTGGTGCGGATGAGCAGGATGCGGTGATGGGGAGGAGGAGTGCGTTGAGGAGGAAAAAGAGCGTCGAAGGAGGAAGAGAAAGGAGGCGTTTTTGTATCAAAATGCGGCTTTGGGCGGAAAAGAATGCATTTCCCCGTCTTCACCGAATTCCTTATCTCTCTCTCTCTCTCTCTCTGTCTTTCTTTTCTTTTTTTTTTCTGTAAGAAAAAGGAACGTACAACGCACCGCACTTTTGTGTATGTGGGTCGCGCGTGCATGTCTATCCGTCTGCGTAGGAGTGCTTGTGTCACAGAGAGCGAGAGGCATCCGAGGTATCCAATTGGCGGAAAGAGGGATTCAAACCCCCGACATGCCTCTCCCTCTCTGTGACACAAGCACTCCTACGCAGGTGTAGTTTTATGGACTGAGCAGATCAGATTCTGTCGTGGTGGACGTCCGATCAGATTCACATTTACTCAGTGTCACGGGCTTGGCGATGTGAAGTTACTGTCATGGGAAAGGTGTCAGATGCTTTCCCTTTTGCTTGGTCCAAATTCTGATGAAAGGGCCCACTTGATGGGGATGGAGGCTATGGACAACTGCATTTAGTCGGCCCGATATATGCATATGTATTATATTGTCACACCGTTTATCGGAGCGCAAAGGCGAAAAAAGAGAAAACAAAAGAACGAAAGGAAGGAAGGAAGGAAAGCTCCGCCTATTCATCACCTCTTGCGTACAAGGCCGGCCATATGTATTATATGTATACATTATACGTGTATATTCCATATTTATATGTACGTGTGTATATGTATCGCCGTAGTATGTCTATGTACGTATGTATATATATCGTCATAGAGAATATGTGGAGTCGCAGAGAACTGCCCGGTGAACCGTAGGCAGAAAAGGAGAGGCGGACAAGCACTGGGAGTGTTGTGACGGACTGTTTCGTCGGAGTTCCACCGATGTTATATTTATATTTATATATATATCGTATATATATGTATTGTCAAACAGAACTGCCCGGTAAACCGTAGGCACAGAGGGAGAAAGGACAACAAACGAGGGGATGTGACAAACTGTTTCGTCGGAGTTTCACCGACTCATCAGGAGGCTGAACCCTCCATATAAATGTATGTATCGGAGTTTGCTACCGCTTGCTCTGTCGGTCACTGACGGCTGATGGGTGCGTGTACGTCTGTGTGCGTATGCATACCCTGGTGCGCTGTCCGCGCGTGTTTTGTGTCTGGTGTGTGCGTGTGTGTTGTGTGTGAATGTTTGTCTTGTGTGTCTGTTGTGTCTGTGTTTTGTTTTCTCACGAAACATCACAAGCCGGCAAAACACCCACGAAACAAAGAAAGGTCTGTCACAACCAAAAAAAACACTCCAGACACGCCGCTGGCACTAGAAGCACAGAATGGCCGCGGATTTTATATAATATATATATGGGAATCGTCATCCGGGATTGTCTTCTCTTTCTTTTTGGTTGTCACACTGGGATCGGAGCTTTTTTTTGCTTTCTTTGCAGACAAGAATGTTTTGATATCCTGGTTGGTCTCGTCCCGTCGTTTGGCCTGTGAGTTGCGGCGGTGCTTGCATGTGGGACTTGTCATCTGGGATTTGTTTTGTTGCCCCCTGTTCTGTATTATTTGGCTGTTCCCTTCCTCTTTTCTTTGCCTCTTTGCCTTCTGCCTGTGTGCAAGTGGGTCGATATGACACACGGGGGTGGGGGCAGCCGCCGCTCAACCTACATCCACGTGGGCGGCCTTGTACGCAAGAGGTTCTGAACAGGGGGAGTTGTAAGGAAGAAGATAAGAAATGAACTGATATCTTTTTGTTTTCTTTTGTTTTTTTCGCTTTTGCGCTCTGATATTTATGTGATGATATATATATATATATATATATATACACAGCCCCTCGTTTGTTGTCCTCTTCTCCCTCTCTGCCTACGGTTTACCGGGCAGTTCTATTTGACGATATATACGATATATATTGTCACATGATATCAGAGCGCCTAAGCGAAAAAACCAAAAAAACAAAAAAATCTTAAATTCGTTTTTAATCTTCTTCCTTACAACTCCCCCTGTTCAGAACCTCTTGCGTACAAGGCCGCCCACGTGGATGTAGGTTGAGCGGCGGCTGCCCCCACCCCCGTG